CGTTGGTCAGAGTCGTGGAAACAAATATCATGGGAAACAACAACTCCAGCCAAGGTGGATCTGGCTCAAAGGGCTCCGGTTCTGCCGGGCCTGATGGACCTCTTCAGTCTTACCCATCTTTTAGTCGATCTGACACCAAGGATTCCTCACGCTCGTTTCGTACCCTAGGATCCAAGATCCGCAGCAGCAGCAAATCGGACAGCCCCAGGAACTCAAAGGTCTTGTCCAACGGCGAGAATCCGGTCGAATCTAAGAGCGACGACAGACGTTCCAGTAGGCATGGACGTTCAAGCTCGTCTCGACTGAGCCGCAGCGAGCTCCCTCCCCTCAATACCGCCGGGACGGACATTTCAACATCCGAGTCGGCCCTCGCAGATTCCGCCGTCGGAGAGGACCAACCCCCACCCTCTCCCGTTCATGGTAACGCCAAAGGCGGCAACCACGACGTGAGTGCCGCGCAAGCATCGGGAGAAGTCGATCACGTTTCCGATCAGCCTCCGTCTGTCAACGCTGGAGCCAACGCGCACATGCAAGCCCCAGGACAGTCCATCCTGGTGAAGCGCGAAAACACCATCAACCCAGTCAACAATGGACCGTCTGACGAGTCCAAGGCTGATGGAAACTCCAACGTCGCCATGTCTGAGATTAAAGATATCGATCTTGACGACTTCATCAAGCGACTCTTGGATGCAGGTTATGCTGGAAAGGTCACCAAGAGTGTTTGTCTCAAGAACGCCGAAATTGTTGCCATTTGCCAAAGGGCAAGAGAGGTTTTTCTTTCGCAGCCTGCTTTGTTAGAGTTGGATGCGCCTGTCAAGGTTGTGGGTGATGTCCACGGACAGTACACTGACGTTATCCGTATGTTTGAGATGTGTGGCTTCCCTCCAAACTCAAACTATCTTTTCCTCGGCGACTACGTTGATCGAGGAAAGCAATCACTGGAGACAATTCTGCTGCTACTCTGCTATAAGCTCAAATTCCCCGAAAACTTTTTCCTCCTCCGAGGAAACCACGAGTGCGCCAATGTCACACGAGTTTATGGCTTTTACGACGAATGCAAGCGAAGGTGCAATGTCAAAATCTGGAAGACGTTTATTGACTGCTTTAACACTCTTCCAATCGCTGCGATCGTTGCCGGCAAGATCTTCTGCGTTCACGGAGGATTGTCACCAGCTCTAGTTCACATGGACGACATTCGAAATATTGCTCGACCCACTGACGTCCCCGATTATGGACTGCTCAACGATCTTCTCTGGTCTGATCCTGCCGACATGGAGCAAGACTGGGAAGCCAATGAGAGAGGCGTTAGTTACTGTTTTGGTAAACGAGTTATTACAGAGTTTTTGGCAGTACATGATTTTGATCTTATCTGTCGAGCGCACATGGTGGTTGAGGATGGCTATGAATTCTTCAACGATAGGGTTCTGGTGACAGTCTTCAGTGCCCCCAATGTAAGTTGTTACCTGCTAAATCCCCTCAGGCCAAAAGCTAACTTGTGCAGTACTGCGGTGAATTTGACAACTGGGGCGCCGTTATGTCGGTATCCGCTGAGTTACTCTGTAGCTTTGAGCTTCTCAAGCCTCTTGACTCGAGCGCTCTCAAGAGTCACATCAAGAAGAGCCGAAACAAGCGCCAGCATATGCTGAACAGTCCGGTATGTCTAAAATCTAAAGATTTCCTGGGTTCCTACTAATTGATTACAGCCCGCCATGATTCAACCCCAGAGCATGTAATGATGTACATATCGCAAATACGAATCCGACTTTTTTTTTATGCCAGTTTCCTCCATTACGAAACATTCATTTTACACCAATGATGGCAATTCGAGGGCGACCCGGAAGATGCTGCCATTGTTTTAAGCAGAAAGAATAGCGCAAACAGATCAACTCTAGCGAGAGTATGAATAAGGTCCAGAATATGGCCTTGCGAGCCAAGAACAAGTATGCTCCGTACGCAGTGACCCAATATCACGGTGTGACAGCCGCTAAGGTCACTGCCTCTGCCCCGAGTAACTGACGTAACTGTCCTAAATATACAACCTGAAATGGTTGAAAGGCACGCAAGGCCTAAAGCAGCGCCGCCATGTATACGCTTCGGAGTTTGGGAACGATTGGCCTATGCTTGGCGCATTTGTAAAGGATTGATGGGAGGATTGGAAGGGTACAACCCTATAGAGTTTTCATGGGCTTATAGCAAGATCTTGGATCTTGGTTTGTGCATAGCAGCAGGAATTGAGTACAAGCAGTTCCTAGTAATTTGTTTTTTGTTTATATACTCGCTCCTCATGACTTGTTCTTTTATAGTGAACTCAATGTTGATACGGCCAAGACATGTGATTGGCCAATGCGGGGTGTGTTGGCTTAGTCATGGTTCAGCAGACGTCGAAAATTGATTGTCTAAATCACGACAATCAGCTTCACCACATTAGACAACCACCGCCAATATGCAACGTCACGCCTTCCGTTCGGTGTGCAGCCGGACAAGGCCAGAGCTCGAGCAGGCCTCGGATGCTCTCCGAAACTACGCCCGCCAATTCTCGACTTCACAGACTCAGGCCGCCGATGGTCCCAGCACCCCGAGGCCGGCTGCCCGTCCCGCTCAGGCTGGTGCTCCCAAGGTCATCGACATAAAGAGTCTGCCCCTGCGTGGCAGAGGAGGTCTAAGGGGTCGTGGTAGTTTCCGTGGGCGAGGCGGATTTGCGGGTAGGGGAGGATTTTCAGCCCAGGATCGCCCATCCTCGCCTATGCGAACTGGCCAGCCTATGACAAGAGGTCGAGGCGGAGGGGGCTTTGGCGCCAGAGGCCGCGGTGGACGTGGAGGTCGTGGTCGCGGCCGTGGTCGAGGAGGAGGTAAAGGTGATCGACGAAGGGATGATGACGACAAGGATAGAAACAAGGACCGAAATGAATTCAACAACATGGATCCCGATGAGAAGTCTTTCGACGATAGCATTCGGTTCGGCATGCGCTCCGAGTACACACCATCCTTCACACTCGAGTCCGTCAACCAATTCGCCCCTGTCGCACCAAGCACCGCTGCTGGAAAGTCAGCTGCTGTTATGCAGAACCTCAGCGTTCTCGGCACAGCAGACCACGTCGGTGCTCCAGAACCCTTCCAGCCCAAATACTACGCCTCCGAGACCGAGGCCGGCGGTATTCGCTTCTTCGCCAATGCCGATGCCAAGAATGCCGCCGAACAGTACCTCCAAGGAAAGGCCAGGGCCGAAGGCAAGGAGCTTAAGGGCCCTATCGTTGCCGAAGCCGAGGAGGCCATCCGTCAGGTCATTACACAGCGAGCTGTCCAGGGCCAGCACGAGACACCCAAGTTCGCATCAGACCCCGTTGGAGTGTCCCGCTCATGGCATCTCCGATCTGAGACGTACACTACCCACGACGTCAACTCGTTCCAGACAAAGTTGACGTCTCTTCTGGATAAGAAGGGCGCTGGTGGAAAGGGTGGACAGGCAAAGGCTTAAAAGAAATCCGTATTAGATCTTAGGATCAGTGTACACTTGTCACGATATGTAATACTACAAATATTCTGCATCTATCCTACAATTGCCAGTCTGTCTATAGTTGACGAATCGTCTGTGCCTCTTCCTGGTCAATCTCCTTCATCTTCTTGTCTTGCACCTTTTGCAACTCCTTCTCGGCCTTCTTGACGATGTCAGGGAGAACAGTGCCGTTCTTCTTCCAGTCCTTTAGCGTCTTTTCGTGTCGTGATCGAGCATTGCGGATGCGGTCCTTCCACTGCTGAACAGCCTCCTTGACTCGTCGCTCAACGTCGTCCTTGCGCTCCAGCTCCACCTTGAGAAGAAGCTCAAGCTCATTGTCCTCGGATCGTTGAGGCTGCTGGTTGAATTCCCGACTCGATTGAACTGCTGACATGATGGGCTTGATGTATTCCTTGTCGTTGACCAGTAGCGAAATAGCTCGGCCTGATCGAGGAACAACCTGCGCCAGCTCTCGGAGGGGAAATGTAGCGTCAGCGCCCTCTTCATCCTTGATAGTCACAGGCAGTGAACCCAAGTTTGTTGGGTTGAAGCGACCACCGTGAATCATACCCGCAAGTTGAGTCTTGAAATGCGCATCGATGGGTGCGTACGCAGCAATAACAGCTGTAAAGTCGAGAGGATCCTCTGGGTCGGGCGCAGGCACCTTTGCCGTGTCATATTCGGCCTTGTTCATAGACCCCGCAGCCGCCTTTGCAGTAGCAGTATTGGGGCTGTTGGCAGGTGCTGAGATCTTGCGCTTCTTGAGAAGCACATGAGATGTGCTGAATGCGCGAGGACTGGCGGCTATTGAGCGGAGAGGAGCTGGTCTGGGTGGTCGAGCAGGTTAGTCGATCAATTGCATGATTTGAGTTGAGGTTGCAGATGGAGGAATATACGATGGGACGTACCCCTCTGAGCGCACCAGTTGTCGCAGACAGGTCCTGAGAGGTGCATTGGCTCGTGAAAATGCCATTTTAAAGAGTGTGTTGTGGTTGAAGCGGTTTTGCGTGTTTCTTAGGTCGAGGTAAAGATCGAAATTCCTGCACGACGTCAGTTCGTGGTGGGTTCTAGTGTGTGATAAGATAAGACATGGGTAGCATTCCAACTGACATGAGGTTTACACGATGTTAACTACAGATATATATACAAGATATGAATTTATGTAAATGCAATGAGATCAACATAATTCTCTGGTTTTATAATTGATTTGATTGAAATACTATGGCTGTTCTATTACAGGTGCGACAAGTTTATCGGAGACTTGACTGGACTCTTGCGCAGCAACCTTGAAAACCATCACCGTACTACTACAACGGCCTCATAGTTGCAACACTTCAATCCAGTTTGTACTTGGGCATTTAAGATCTCAGTTCCTTTTTAACTCTTGAATTGCTGTTGCGAATGTGATAAGCTGTAGCCCCTCCTTAGCCCTGTCACCCCCGCAGAAGCGTAGTCAAAAAGAATGATATGGATGCATCCAACAGACAACACCACATCACCACACCTTTGATCGTGGCAGGGTTCGAACCTGCGACATTTTGCGCGTTCAATAATCTGTAAAGCAAACGTGATAACCACTACACTACACGACCAAGTAGTTTATAATATCTCTCTGTGTTGTGAGTTATAGATCCTAGCTGGTTGTGGGAGTTCAAGCATCAGGACATGTGACGGTGGAGAGATGGATAAACAGACTGGTGGTATTGTCTAAAAGCATGTTTATTCATAAGGGAACTATATGAAAGACTGAAAGGCCGAGTTACTGTCGCTGGCAACTTATAGAGAGGACTATATGGTATACCGTAGTATGCAGGGTTACACCGACACTCCCCGAGCGCCGTACTGCATGATTACAGGATACAATAAAGATGATTTAATTCATTATTCAGTAGTGTCAAAACGGATTACGTATTCGTAAAGAATAGAAAATCCTCCTTTTGCATAACTGTTCTCACTCGTATGACATGCCTCCTCTCATACCAGCCAACCTTACATACTTCTCATGGTTCAATGTATGAATGTTGTACTCGATCTTTGCAGAGATATGAGCTTAACAGTTAAGAAAATATATATATACTACAACATTATGTAAGAAACCGTAGGCAATGGTTCAATATATATGGTGTCTTATTCTTCATCATAATAAACTTACCCTCGCCATAATAAACTAAGCTTCATTACATCATCCATACTTATGACTGAAGAGGCTTGCCCATACCTCCATATGTAATCATCTTGGTAATCTGGTACTCACTGATACCATACAACGATCCCTCACGACCAAAGCCACTCTCCTTCACACCACCAAATGGCGCAGCAGCATCGGAGATGAGACCAGTGTTAACGCCAACCATACCCACCTCAAGGGCCTCCGCAATACGGTGCACACGCTCAAGATCGCGGGAAAAGAAGTAACCCGCCAGTCCGACCTCAGTGTTGTTGGCCATCTTGACCACCTCCGCTTCTGTCTCAAAGGGAAAGAGACCAGCGACAGGTCCAAAGGTCTCTTGAGAAGCCATGTCCATCTCTGGAGTCATATCACGGATGACAGTGGGAGCGTAAAAGTTGGAACCGAGGTCGCTGAGTCGCTTGCCACCGATGGTGACTTTTCCGCCCTTCTTCTCGGCGTCCTTGACATGAGCCTCAACCTTCTCAATGGCTTTGTCATGAATTAAGGGTCCATGCGTGACGCCTTGGTCAAAGCCGTGTCCTACATTGAACGACTTGACCTTCTCGGTAAACTTGGCCACAAACTCATCATAGATGCCGCGTTGAACGTAAATTCGGTTGGCGCAGACACAAGTCTGGCCCGAAGATCGGAACTTGGATGTAATGGCTCCAGCCACCGCAGCATCAACGTCGGCGTCGTCAAAGACGATAAAGGGGGCGTTTCCACCGAGCTCCATTGATAGCTTCTTGAGGGTACCGGCTGATTGCTTCATAAGAAGCTTTCCAACGTTGGTGGAACCGGTGAAGGAGACCTTGCGGATTGTGGGGTCAGAAGTGAGAAGCTCGCCGAGTTCGGGTGTGTTCTCGTGTGAAGTTACGACGTTGACAACGCCCTTGGGGATTCCTGCACGGTGAGCCAGCTCGGCCAGGGCTAGTGAAGTAAAGGGGGTCTCGGCGGGAGCCTTTGCGACGACTGTGCAGCCTGCAGCCAAAGCAGGCCCGATCTTTCGTGTGATCATGGCGGCGGGAAAGTTCCAACTAGAAAAGTCAGATCAACATTAAGTCTCAGGTAGAAAAGGGAGGGCTTCTTACGGTGTAATCAAACCACAGACTCCAACGGGTTCTTTCAGAGTCCAGACTCGGTTGCCAGGCACGGAACTGGGAATTGTATCACCATATACTCGTGGGGCTTCCTCACTGAACCACTCAAGAAAGTTGGCAGCATAAGTTGTCTCGCCTTTGGCATCAGCCATGGGCTTTCCGTTTTCCCATGTAATAAGTTTTGCGATGTCCTCTGCGTTGGCTGTCATCTGCTCATACCAGGCGCGCAACAGCTTGGAGCGCTCACGGCCTGTTTTGTTGCGGAATGAAGGGAACGCATCAGCAGCAGCACGAATGGCTAGTTGAGCGTCCTTGGAGTCAAACTCAGGGCATGTTCCGATGAGATCGCCAGTTGAAGGATCTAGATCATTAGTTTGTGATAGAGGTAGTGAGGAGATTGAGACTCACCATTCACTTTGAATGTCTTGCCAGACTTGGCCTTGACCCATTCGCCGTTGACATAACATACATCTTGCTTGAAGAGAGAGAGATCTTTAAGCTTGAAGACGTTAGTTTGTGATTATATCGGCAGACAATGATAAGTACCTTTGGGGGAGAGGCGTTGGATGCTTTTCGAGTAATCATCAAGGTGATGGCTGGAGATTGTCGCAGCGCACCTCGTGCTGAGGGAGCAACCAAGCGTTGAAGAAGAGCCATTGCGACAAGTACCTAATCACCAATTGAGCAAAAAACAGTGATATCAGACTCAGTCAATTGAAGAAACTGTATGGTTTCTTGACTGTTGATAATGTGAAATGCAATGATAAACGATATCAAAGTTGCCAGGTACTCGCGGGGTGACGTCTTGTTAAAGCTCCCGGCTCAAGCTTGTGTGGGGTAACGTTGGATGGAACTAAAACCTCCCCGGAGCCGGCATTCTTCTCACTCAACCTACCTAAAACACCAAGATCGGCTCCGGCGGGACCGGCAACGATAGGACTTGTGTGAAAATTGCTTAGCGAGTCAGTGACTTGCGTCTTTTATCGGTCTCTTCAAGTTCTGGCACTGATTGACAATCTATCTAAGCAGCTGTTCAAGCTTTCCCCATGTTTCATCACTAACCGGGCCGTGCAAGTGAGCGGAATAGGCAAGTGTTTGCGAAAGATAGCCATTTCACAAGACGAGTGCGATTATCGTCTACTATTGATGCAGTCATCAAACAATCTGAGAGCATCCAGTTTATCTTCTCAATTCAGATAGAAATAATATATGTAACAGTATGAAAGTTGTGCCTTGTTCGGCCTCAAAGATTGTTCCTCGGTATCGAATATCATCATCCCAAACTCCAAACTCCTCATGCTAATTAAGGATAGTAGTCCATTCATAGACATATATCTCCCGGCCGTCGAGTTTTAATATTTCCATTCATTCATCCCTTCACCCGTACCTGTTCTGTTGGGACCGCAGTGGCAATTGGCGATCCAAAGTATGAAACGCTTGTGTTCGAGGGGTAAACGGCGTCGCTCGAGAATCGGGCATCTTCATGTTGTGCATTTCCCAAACACCCCTGTCCTTCGGTTCCGATGTCGTAGATCCCTCTTCCTCGTCATCGTCTTCGGAAATGTCATTGATCTTGTTGGGGAGGAGGGCATAGATTGACAATGCCAAGCTCATAAGATAAACAAAGCTACAAGGTTATCAGCATATCTCGCCTGTGTATTCCGTTCTCCAGCGCAACTTACAGCATGTATACAGCTATGACAAGAGAGTACTTGGCGACCATGCAGCTCTTGTACTTTCCATAAGGCCGCGCAATGTCGCATCCTATACGATAGTACCAGGCTGTTGGTGCGGGATATCGCGGATCGGCATAGTCGGGTCCAATGGTTCCGTAGGTGCAAACGGTGTACAGAGCGACCAAGCTGCAATTGATAAAGGTGGCAAAGATTGGGTACCAACATCTCATGATGACAGCTATAAGCTTGCCGAGAAGAAAGAAGAGTGAGATGACCGATATGGCAACGTTGAAATCGGTAAATCTTTTTTCATGTTAGTTAATCATCATTTGATGGAGTCGGACAGAAACTCACGTTCTTGTCCAGATGAGGGCAACCTTGGGTAAAGGTCGATAGTTGGCATAAGCGTAGAGAATCATGGCAGGGTTCGAGTTGAGCGGAGGATCATGTTCCCAACCAATCTGCCACATGTCGGTTCGGTAGAGATTAGGCTGAGAGATGCCAAAGATGACCAGAGCGGCCACGACTCCGATCAGCTCAACGGGCATCAGCCACCAAATGGCCTTTCTCGCCAGGCGAGGCCATTTTCTGAAAACGATTTTATAGGTCCTGGGCTTTGCTGGTTTGTCTGTGTGCTCTTGTGATGAGCGATTGAAGATGGGAAGCTTCATCATGCCGATAGTTTCTTATCTGCTGATTCGCGTAGTTGCACTTTCGTTTGTAGTTGGCTGCTGGAGCAGCTATAGTCGGTTACACATACACGATATCGTCGTAAAGGCTTGTGTATAATTCCAAGCTCGTCAAGTTGGTTCGTCGCTATGGCTGGCCGGCAGCTGTGAATCTCAGTTGAAGATGTAAAGGAGCCGTTCAAGTGGCCAGGTCGGGGGTGGGCAGCGGTTTAAGGGCCTTCAAGGCGGCCAGCAGAAGCGCAACGGATCGGCTGAAGAGGCGAGAGGGAACCGCATACGCACACGCACACGCACACGCACAGCAGACTTGTGAAGGGGGGGCCCGCAAGGGCTTCCCCAGCTGTGAGAGGCTCAAGGCCTGTGAAGAAAACCACTCCAAGTGCCATCAGTGTGATCCTGTGTGAAAACAGCCTGTGAGCGGCAACCAAGATGCGGGAGGCGGGCGTCTGGAGTGATACTCAGTATGTCAATCACCACCAGCATCTAAAGCGCAGCCAATGGCGTTGCAGAGCTGCTTGGCCATCACCACTCGTCTCCCCTGTTAAGCGCCCGGGTGGAATATGGTAAGATGCTTGATGCTGACAAGAGAGCCCGATTGGTTGGACCAGAGGTTGGAGCTGCAACTCCATGAGCCTCACTGGCCAATCAGAAGACGAAAAATGCAGTTGAATATGTGCCTTCAGAGTCCAAGCTGCTTGAACAACAGGGATTTGAGCCGCCTGTTTTTTGGCCGTCAAGTGCTCGCAGATTCAAATCCAACGTGATCTTCCCGACCGGAAGTACGGCTCGAACCGACTTTTCAAATCGTATCCGTATGTTGGTTCATGGTCAATCTTAGCCGCCTGCTACGGTCCATCAGTCGAGTGACAATAGAAATGGGCTCAGTTGTGATATCCAACATACAACGATCGTCCATGAGTTGGACGTTGAGGAAGGTCAAGTCGTTGCACCGCCGCA